GGAATGCACCTCGATGCATAAAATTTTAAAATGTATCTTTAGAATGCGGCTAAGATAATACATTACATAAGAAAATAAATAAAAACTGAATTCTGCGGAAAAGAAAACACTGAGAAATAAATTTGAAGAAGTTTTTAGATACGCCGCATTTCTGTTTAATAATTTTTATATCACATATGAAAATTTTTAATTTTTCATTAAAAATTTTTAATGAATGAAATAATTGAAGACATTTTCTAATTTTATTTTTGAAACATTGAAAATATTAATATGGAACACTCTGCTATGATAGGCAAGTGCAGATTTAGTTTTTGGCTAGTTTTTTATTTAGAAAGACATGAAAGAAAGAATAACACTCAGACTCATAGTGGAAATTGCCAGAATCACCACTGATCACTTAGTTCGATGGTGAAAATCACTATAAAGTCACCAGCATCTTTCATCTCCACTATACCTTTTATCTTCGTTAAGTCAAATTTCGACCACAGTGGAAGTTGGAGCACTATACCTTTCACCTTTAGTTAGTCAAGCTTACTTTCATAGTCTTAATTGGGGCACCATTACCTATCATTCTCGTTAATTCAAATTTAATACCACACTGGAAGTCATAGTTGCAAAATAATTAACTTTCATCTCTAGTTGTCCAAACATGGTTCCACACTTTCAGTTCGTGAACTGCCAACAATCGTGTCTAAATAGCCAATTTTCATTCCATGGTGGAAATCTCATTTGAGATACCATTAATTTCTAGTTAGCCTAGTTAAGTCTAATAGTGAAATCGGAACTAGGATTGGAACTAGAATAACCTTTATCGTTAGTTAGTCAAGTTTAGTTCTACAAGGAACGAATTATTTGGGAATTGTTTACCTTTTATTTCATTTGTAAGAAGCCAAATATGCTTTTGTAGGTATAGTCTTAAACCAAGCAGAACTACCTTTAATCTCTAGTCAGACAAATTTCGTGCCACAGGGAAGTTCTGAGACAAACCGTCTCTTATTTTTAGTTAAGCAAGTTAAGTTCAATAGCAAAATCTCAGTTAAGACCCCACTAACTTTCATCTTCAAAACAAGTTCTACAATGAAAGTTTAAGTTCGGATTTTAATATCTTTCGCTTATGAGCATTCAAGCTCAGCTCTATAAGGGAACTCTTAATTGGACCAGAACGACCATTCTACCTAGTTAGCCAAGTAAGTTAAATGGTGAAAAAATAAGTTGTGGCACCACTATCAATAATTTTTCAAGCTAATATAGCTTTTACAGAACTTAAGGTATATTTATCGGGGTAACACTATTCATATAAATAATATTAATATTTTTAACTAAGAAACTAAAATAAAACTTAATCACGAGCTTTTCTTTTAACAATATCGTTCATAATGTTTACCGAGTCCTCATATTCTACTGCTGAGATTATGAGTATATTATCTTATTTTATGTTAATCGCAACAAAAAATTTGAAACAACAACGATGTTGTGTTGTACGCTATAGGACTTTGTTTCTATGAAGTTCACTTAAGTGAAAGATTAGGTTGTTATTATTTTTTTTTAATGATCCTTTATTGGATATTAATAGTACAATCTCAACTATATGTTAATTTATTACTATTACTCTATTGTACTTAATAGATATTAAGTAATACGTGTGCGCATTTACGGAACCAGTATTCACCTCCCATATAGGTTATTATGGCATAATATATCATCAAGAATGTTATTCCACCTGGTAATGAAAACTTTTTTATTTTAACCTACATATAGAATATAGTATAAATAACATTAACCACCCACTTTCTTTAAAAATTAATTAAAGTTTTAAGAATTTATTTTCCTCTTTTCTTTTGCCTGATACAGTCTGCATTCCAAATTAAATTATTTCAATTTTTTTTAATTTTTTCTACTAGAAAACAATTAACATATATTACAATAATTTTAATTTTAACGTTGAAATGCCATTTTTTATGGCATGAGCTCACGCTATAATTAAGGTAATTTTTTAAATGCGTCCGTCGCGACGTCACCCTCGCCGAGTGTCATATCCAATATATGGAGAATACTTAATACATGGCACAGTACGAAGTTAAAATGACATAATCCGGCCTTGAAATGTACTAGTATAGATATTTCAGGCAAAAATAAATAAATAAAAATATTAAGTGTTTTTCTGTAACACGAATTCAAAGTTTATTCGATATTCAAAGGTAAGCAGACGAGCGGAGTACAAGAGTATATGTGGATTACATACTCTTGAGTATCTTAAGTATCTGAGAAAATTATATATTCCTTAAAAGAATTTCATTATAAACAAAAATTGCTTTCCATTTTATTATTGTTTAAAGATGTATTGAAGAGTATATTACATAAACATTTGTAATTTATAGCAAAATTCTACTTATATATGTATATACCCATATATGTATATACATAATAAACTTTATATTGCACTAAGGAAATATACTTTTTGCAAGCTATGGTCAAATAATCGATATCAATATTATTTTATATTAATAATTTTTTTATACGTATAAAAAATATTAAACATATATACATTTAAAGTATATTATAAGAGATATTCCTTCTTAATACAATTTTTTGCAGTACACCGACTATAATGTCAGAAGTATTATTGATTTTCTTATTATGAATGGCATGACTGCAGTACTTTGAGAAAATATTAGCAAGTCATAAAAGCAATAATATAAATATTATATATTGCGAAAATGATTTAGCAAACAATATAGAGTATATAAAGACCTAAACGTATTTACTACACTGCGTACATGAACATAAACTTACAAAAACCCAATGATTGACTTAATATAAGTAGGGTTAAAATTCTGATTTTATGAGAGATCGAATATACACTAGTCCACATAGATTCACAATTAATATTAGGGAATAATTTACTACTACTAAAAATATTTTTAAATTTGGATTACCTATAGCTTCTTTAACAAAAGATTATACTACATTTAATGGTTCCGAAAACAATCGTGAATATAATGTACTTGTGATTCAAATTTTTATTAAGTGCTTATAGGTATTTTAGTTTATTACCTAAACCTGGCCATTACATGGTATATACAATATCCTTAAAACATCCTCTTTGAGACATCTGTAATTTCTAATTTTCGATGAGTTTTTCGCCATATAACTAGCAATAGTTAGATTATAATTCCACAGATGTTTGTCCAGAAGTTTGAAAGCATCGAGAATTGAAATACTGTCTGCATATATATGATCGCTGGCATAACTCCACAATTACACAAAAATATAGGCCAATGATGACAAATCACTGCTGTCGTCACTAAAAGGTGATATCTCACGTTCAACAAAGTTCTCGTGCTATAAATTAATATAGCACCATCTACCATATATAGTACACACTATATATGTTAGACTATTACATTTTTAATTTCATAACACTAATTTATTTTATACAAGCAGAATTGACACTATGCCTTTAACTTTCTTCATTTTCGAAGAAACTTCAGAGAAATCAAAATATACTCCAAGCGAAAAATGGACATATGATGCCTTAAATGATAGATTTGACTGATAAATGGAACTCAAACACGATTACCAAAGTATGGTCTTAATCTCTGAATTTCTCCAATATATACTCTAATCTATGTCTCTAGGTTTAGAACAATGTTTATAAAATGAGATGTCATCTAATGAGAGTGTGCAATTTGTTAGTTGAAATGGACTTTGAATGGGCTATTTTAAATTGGATTTATTGACAGTGGAGTAGTTCAATCCAATCATGTTATGTGATTTTGCCGTTTAAGAAAATGCTTGCACAACAAAAGTAAGACCAAAAAGAAATTTCTATACTCGTTTGGAGGGGAAATGTATCTATAGAGGTAATGTTGGAATAAGAAAATTTTGAAAAACTTGTATGTAGTATACTAAAAAAGAGATTGGGAACATTGGTATATAGCTGAAAAACAGAGAGAGTTTTAATTCATCTAAAACTCTTCAGCATATATTTTCACACTTCTGTTTTTCAACCATTTTTCTAATAATTGGATGTCTGACGTATTGTCTTTTTTATTTCAGTTATAAATCATAGTATTTTTCATAAATTAAATAATTTTAGAAAATAAATAATAAAATATAGTAATGAAACTTCGTTATGTATAAAAGATATATGACTACTATATGCTATTAATGTAAAATTTTATTTAAATAAAATCTACTGAAAGCTCCTTTTATCTCTATTTAGTCTATTTTTATTAATAATCATAAAACCTGTTTTAAATTGAGGTCATTTGTAAGCTCTCAGACATATTGTTTATATATCAGCTCTATCTATCTATCAGCTTAACCATTCGATCAGACTAAATACTAATATAAGCAAATCAACAAAAATATAAACATTTACCTAGAAGTCTATCTAATAAGAACCCATATTAAAATATTTTGTAAATCACCTCAAATCCTTACGAAAGTCCAAAAAAAGGAGTTATTTTTTATTTATTTATAAATTAAGAAAACCTTTTTACAAATATTTAATCCAATAACTTTGACATATATGTTAAATGTTAAATGTTAATATATTTCAAAAAAAAAGTACTATAGTTTATAACAAAAAAAAAAATTTATACTAAGTTAATAAGTAATTATAGTGATAATTAATTATAATGATTTGTAATTAAAAAAAATATTAAAGTATTATAATTTGTAATTAAAATTATATAAATTTCTATATCAATTAATAAATTAAAAATTTTTGTGAATATAAAATTCATATAAAAAAAAGTTTAAAAAAAATTAAAATTTTTTTCGTGATGTAAAATAATAATTACTGAATAACTACTTAATAATATAATAAAATAAAAAAACTTATCATAATTTTTCATACTGCAAAATCGAATGATATGAAATCGAATATAATATATTATTATATATACTATATTATTAATTTTAATAAAATATTGTAATATATTGAATTAATGTATATTGTCTAATTTTTAATATTTCTTAATAAATTTATTTACCTTTCTGTACTATTCTTCAAGTCCTTAACATTTTCCTTATCGTCTGAAATTTGAGTTGCCTTGAGAATGTTCTGTATGTCTTCAACAATTTTCAATTTATTGGTTGAAGCCTCGGACAAGGCGTTTGGAAGTTGAGATTCTGGTACCAAGATCTGCATTTTGATGTCTTTTCACCTCTGTTAACTATTACTATATTAATTTTTATTTATTTTCTGTATAGTTTTATTTATATATTATAGATTGTTTTTTATTAGAGTTTTATTTTGTTTTATGTTAAATTTAATTTCACTCAATTATTTAGTAGTTCTTTTTTTTTTTTGAAATATTAATTATAAACACAAATATTTCATATATAAACACTGAAGAGTTTATTAGTTCTTTGGCGAAAAAAATGTTTAACAAAATAAAAATTCCACAAATTCCACTGCGAACAGTGCGGCGGCTTGTCTTGTGATAATTTGTGTGGCGTTCACAATATGCAAGAATTTTTTATTTAAAATTTTCTTTATAATTTTTTTGCAAAAATATTTCAATTGTTTTAAACGCAATTTTAGAAAAATTTTGATTAAATTTTCATAAACTCCCAACCACTTCTTTACTTAACTGTGTCTGACCACAGACTGAGTCATTACTCAACAAATCACCAAACGCAAAGTGTTTATTTCATACAAAAACTTTCGTATAATTTCGTTTCTTTTTGTTTACCAACGAAGGCAACGAAATTATTGTGTGGTGAATTACTTTCTTCTATTCAACGTGCGTGTGTGGTGAGTTTTTCAACGTGAAGGTGCAAACATTTTCTTTTATTTGCTTACATTTCACTGAGTCAGTTGTGGAATGTATAAAAGGTAAGTTGAATTTGATTGTTGTTGTTTTATTTTTATGATTTTGGCAAGTGGGCAAAAATTTTTGATTTTAATTTCAAAATAAAAATAGTTTTTAAAAAATTTTATGAAAACACTTTTGTTGTAGCTATTTTTATTGTAATTTCTGTAGATGTTGTTGCTGTTGTTGTTGTTTTGTGTTTATTTAGTTTTTAATTTTACTAAATGCGGAAATAAAATGTTCATTCACACGACTCCACTCTTCTCTTAGTGCTGCTTTTTCTGCACTATTGATTGATTTATGGTGAAAAATATTTTATAATTAAAATTTTATAAAATATTTAAATAAAATTAATATATTTACGAGGTGATATCAAGCAAAATTAATCTGCATTTATAAATTAAACTTTTATAGACTGATTGATGTTCCTCTGAAACCCTGTATCTAGAATTTCAATCATATCGTTCTATACGAGTCTTTGTTTTTCAATCCACTTACTTACTTCCCTCACTTGTGACCAATTCTCAAGAAACATTCCGCTGAATATATTGATTTTAGCGACTATTGTGTTTTGTACTACTGTGTTCTACATTCATTATAATCTCGGGTTTTTCCGCTGGCTACTCTACATAGATATACCTTCAATAGAAGATATATACATATGATAAATATTTGTCGACGAAGTAGTAGTTATGGCACCTAATCATATATATTGAGCATCTAAAAATAATCGACAATATCACTTTACAATATAAAGCATTGAAGGAATGGGAATATGGGTTTATTAAGTCTAAAACCACTCAAATTGCATATACACTGTATCAACAAAATTTTTAAGCTTTAATCTTGATAAGAAGCAGAACTGCAAACATCACGCTAAACAATAATATGAATCGATGAACCACAAAGATCAAATAAAGTTAATTGGACAATATTCTCAACTATATATAAACTTATGTCTGGAGAGTGGCTTATCACTCCTCAATCAAACCAATCTGGATATGTAGTATACAGTTTTGGGGCTGCACGAAGCAATTAAAGTGAGAGAATATATAGGAAAACGATTTACTAGAGATAGTAACCAGTATATAAGTAATCAATAAACACACAAAGATATTACTAAAAAATTAGTCAAGATGTGTATGACATAACATACTGTCGAGCATGAAAGATAACTACGTCTTCACACCTACATAATTCCCAAAAAATGGCATTAACTATAGAACACAGAAAATAATAGAAAATAAACAGTGTTCAGTGAGCGAAACACTACGAGCATGACTAAACTTTTATGTTATTTACTGACTCTCACTAAACAGAAGACATAATGCCCTTTGAATAAAAGCCAAATACAAGTAAATTATAGAGGAACCCCTAATTTTGGACAGGATCTCTGGCCTAGCAGTCCTCTCCTGTTCTAAAACAAAACCCTTGCAGGAAAGGGGTTAGAATATTGTCAAGGTAAGGCATGACTTTCGTAATAAGGGACTAAAATTAAGTAGTAACCACCCAAAACTATTTAAAGTATAAATAGTAATCAATGAGTTTTATTTTCGACCCAACTGGAGATACAAATTTGTTGACATAGGGTTTAGGGCACACAGCTTCGACTGTTGACTGTTTGGTTATTATTCGACTGACTGTCCTGTCCTTTATTGGAAGTAGCGTGGTAAAAAATTACCAAATTACAAAATTACTCGGGTGAAATTACTCGGTTATGACCCGTCAGATAACTTGCAAATATTATTCAGTATTCTTTTTATCATTTTGAGGAGAGCTGAGAACACTGGCACAATAAGCCAACACATGTCTCGGTTGGATCAATTGAAGACTCAGTACTAGAAGCAAATTTGTGGTTTCTCGCCACTTTAATAGTATATCCTCATTACCAATTTTTTTTTTCTTTGTAGTCCCAAATGAATCACAATATATAATTTTGTGGTATTAAAACCATACCACTAATATGTTAACCTAGTTTAAATGTTACTAATCACATTTAATAAAGGACGTGTTTATAAAACAAAATTTAATTATTTACTGTATGTAGTCTAATATTTTTTCATAAAAAAACCAAAATTTATTTTTCCTCAATTTAAAAACATAAAATTTTAAAAGAAAATTTTTAAACAAAAATTACATCAAAGACAATTGAATTTATGTGCTTCATACGCCATGTAATCCGCAACAATTCAGAAGCGTTTAGCATTTTGAACTCGATTCGATTGCTCGATTTGCTGTTGTAATTAATTTGTATTAAATTAAATTTACTTAATTCTTTTCGCATTTCAATGAATTTAATTTAATTCGATGCCAATTCAGTTTATTTATAAATCGACACAATTTTTTTGGCAATTTTGAAGGCCGCCAGCAACTTGAAATGTTATGCGAATCTCTTTAAATAAAAGTCGTTATAAATAAAATAGAAGAAAGAAAAAAAATAAATTAAATAAAAAATATACAATAAATCAGCCAAATAGTGACTCAAAGACTGAAACAGTTGTAGACATTCCCGACATAAAATTCCCTATGTGAACCATGAAGTATAAATAAACAATTTCTGTATCTTAAAATTAAAAAAAAAAGACTAAGAATAATGTTTATATAATGTTAACTTTAAATTCATGGTCAACATATGTAAAACATACTTATTTCACTTGACTTATAAACACTAGGGTAAGAAAGATCAATTAAGGTTGGAAAACAGATGCAGCTTTTCTCACGAGATATTATAATAAGAGTATGAAGAGCATAATCTATTACTTATTTGCATGGATATACTTAACTGAAAGATTTCAGATTTAAATTCACTTAAAAATTAAAGATAATTTTTTTTTTAATCATATGACTTCATTTAATTGCATTTGAATTAATTTAATTTTGCTTTATTCATTTATTTAATTTTTTATGGCTAGTTAATTTTTTTCAAATTAATTTAATTTTACTTAATTCTAAATTAAATAATAAATTTTAGTTTAGTTTTTAAATTTTTGCGTGAAATCAATCTTAACCTCAAAATTGGAAAGTATTTAGCTCCCGAAAATTGTGGAAAGCGACTGTTGTCAAGCACTGACAAACCATTATATGTAAAATACAGAACCCGCGATCTAATAACAAACAGATACAAAGCAATCTGCTGACGTATAATCTTTGTTAGATTCCGTTATTTTGTTATATATTATTTTATTTCATTTTATATCATTTTATTTTAATTTATTTTATTTTGTTTTATTTCTTTTATACTTTGTTTTATTTTATTTTATTTCATTTTATTTTGTATTATATTATTTTATTTATTTTAATTTTTTTTATTTTATTTTTTTCATTTCATTTAATTTTATTTCATTTTATTTCATATTTTTTATTTTAATTAAAAAATTTTTTTTTATTTTTAACTTAATTAATATTATTTTATTTTGTTTTATTTTATTTTGCTTTATTTTATTTTATTTTATTATGTTTTATTTTTTGTTTTTATTTCACATTTCTATTTTATTTTATTTTATATTATTTCGTTTTGTTGTATTTTATTTTGTTTTATTTTATTTTATTTTATTTTATTTTATTTTATTTAATTTAGTTTAATTTATTTTATTTTATTTCATTGTGCTTTTTTGTATTTTATTTTATTTTATTTTACTTTGTTTTAATTTCTTTTATTTTGTTTTGTTTTGTTTTATTTTGTTTTGTTTTATTTTATTTTATTTTATTTTATTTTATTTTATTTTATTTTATTTTATTTTATTTTATTTAATTTAGTTTAATTTATTTTATTTTATTTCATTGTGCTTTTTTTTTATTTTATTTTATTTTATTTTATTTTATTTTATTTTATTTTATTTTATTTTGTTTTAATTTTTTTATTTTATTTATTTTGTTTTATTTTATTTATTTTATTTTATTTTATTTACTTTTTTTATTTTATTTATTTAATTTAGTTTATTTATTTTATTTTATTTCATTATGTTTTTTTATTTTATTTATTTTATTTTATTTTATTTCTTTTTTTTATTTTATTTATTTTTTTTATTTTATTTATTTATATTTTTTTTATTTTATTTTATTTATTTTTTTTTTTATTTTATTTATTTATTTATTTTTTTTATTTTATAATTTTTTTTTTATTTTATTTATTTTTTATTTTTTTATTTTATTTTATTTATTTTTTATTTTTTTATTTTATTTTATTTATTTTCGTTTTTTATTTCTTAATATTTTTTATTTATTTATTTTATTTTATTTTATTTTATTTTATTTTATCTTATTTTATTTTATTTTATTTTATTTTATTTTATTTTATTTTATTTTATTTCAATTTATTTTATATTAATGAATTTCAATTTCTCCATTGGTACTCGTATCAAAATAATTGAACCAAATATTTATTCAAAAATAGAAATTTCTTCAAAGTTTTCCATCAAATGTCAACACCA